CCTGCTTTTCACCTCGGCATGGCGTTGCCGTTACCGAATTGAGGGCTTAGATCTAGGCTGTATGGTTCAAGAGCCTTGATGTAATATCACATCACCCTGTTAATTGAACAGAAGGGTACTACCTTGAAGATGTATAGAACGAGCAATGTAGATGGATCACACAGCTATCTTGTTAGCAAAAACAGCGACCGATGCGCCTGCTAGACTAACCTTTATTACATAGAGTTAACTGCCAATACTTTTTTACTTCTATATACGTGCTATTCATCGACACAGACTGTCAAACGCATTACCAAGTACTTTATCATAGTCAGTTCGCGACTCAAGACTTCTGCGGCCGGAAGTAAGATCTTCCTTACATAGAGTCTCCCTCAGCAGGGGTGATGTCGCAAGGATGGACATCGTTTCCGTGTCTGCAAACTGGGCTATAACAGGTAGTAATTGCGACCCCTCTAAACAATCGGCATTGCATCGATCGATGAAGAGTTTCAGTACAGCATGGCTGTTATGCACCACCGCTGTCATAATTGGCGAAAATCCTTTGCTGTTAACAAGTCCCAAATTTGCCCCATGATCGAGCAGAATCCGCGCGCACTCAACATTTTGCATACTGGCAACAGTGTGTAAAGCTGTCCGGCCTTCTGGGTTGCAGGCATCAACCTTGGCGCCGTGATTTAGAAGCCTCTTGACCATGCCTTCCAAGCCGCCAAACGTAGCCGCTGTGAGTGGGCTGCTGCGAAATAGACCCCCTGGAATTTCAGGATTAGGATCTGCTCCAGCCTCAAGGATCATACTGAGAGCATCTTCGTTGTGACTGTCAACTGCATGCAGGACGGTACTGCGGCCACTGACGTCTATCGAGTTGAGGGGTGAGCCGCGGTCGATTAAGATTCTCATGTCGGACAGCTTAGCCAGAGCGGTAGCCCAGTCAAGCGCTGTGCGGTTCATGGCATCCGTGAGATTAACAGCATTTGGATTGGCATCGATCTCAACGCTGAGCGATTCAGAACACCGACCAAGAACTATTTTGTGGATCTGCGGAAATCTCTGCTCTTCAACCCAATCGGTGTGAATGTATGACGTTGGCGGTTGCATCGTGATGCATTTTAGCTCAGAAAGCTCTGTGGGATTGCATTTCATGCGATATGCATAATCCCATACATGCCGATAGGACCTAGGTGAGGAGCATCGTTAGTATCTTCGACTGTACGGCCGGAATCGCTCAATCTCTTACTCTTCATCAACAGAAGCTCCCTGACTGAGCAAGAATTTTACAGTTGGGTAATTGTTCATCCCACCATATAGAGCCCACTATGTGCGGTTTAGCATTTTTCTAATTAGGTCGGACTATATGATCTAAAAACAAGTGCTGAACTTACCCTCACTAGGCTGTACTGTCGAGTATAGCTTATGTCCTTTGGTGATGCCAGCCCTTGTGCGAAAAGCTTCTGCAGACCTCCAATATTGCCAGTAATAGCAAACCAAACTGACCGGGCTGTGTCTGGAACAACACGAAAGTCATGGAGCTGAATCTGGAGTTGTGGACTGTTCTTGTAACGTTGAACATTTTGCATCTCTAAAGCAATAGGGAGAAACGCATTGTAGGTGTAGGGCATAAGTTCGTTATGCTGTCGACCTCCGTGTTCTGGTCGCAATCCTGCTGATACATCTAATGGAGATGATTGTGATATTTCATGACTGATGTTGTTCGGCAATGCATACTGTAGACTATGCAATGTTGCCGGCTTCATCATAAGGCTTTGGTTATGTATTTCCAACACGTTCGAAGTCGTCCCAGAGCTTTGGAGTGGAAATTCCCAGGCGATAGTTTGTAAGTTATTGTTGCAAGACGCTGGGCGAAGCTGTAAATCTGAACTTTCTCCAATTTGAACTTCTAGCCTCCTTCGTTTTCTTGGTGTATTGACGAGTGCAGAATTGTCCTCATGCACTATGTTGAGTATATGTCTGTTCGAAGGGTCCTGCTGTAACCTATCCAACACACCTTCGCTATTTTCCAATAGTGCAAAAGGCCGCTCGTTACCGTTTTCGTTTACTTGAGAAGCTTTTGCGACGGCTATTTGCACCAAGGATGTGTTATTAAAGTCGAGTGGAAGTGGTGTTGCGTCGTGCACCTGATCAATACAATCAGAAGTTGCTGGCATAGTATCCGCATCGTAACCCAGATAACTGCTGATCACTTTTGTCCTGGATATTATCAGCAACTGGATTCTTTTATGAATTGGAACACGTACGAATCGTATTCGAGAACTCCTGACTGTTGTATCAGACGCTCTATAAGACCAGGTATGGTATATGATGGCATTATTATTATTATTATTATTATTAATTAACGTCCTGTCTCAGCTGGTAGGCTATATAAGACGTGCAGGCTA